AAAATTAAAATCTTTATATCTCGATCAAATATCATGCTGACTCAAGGAAATTTTCAGGAAGGGCTTAAAAGGTGCCATATGTTGTTGACCACGCCGAAAAAGTGATCCAGCAGAACACTGACGCTCTGAGGTTTTTCAGAAACTTTCTGGAAAACCTTAAGTCAAGGCCCAGCTCACATTCATCTTTTTCGTCTTCGATTATGTTTTATGAGCGGTCCTGAGCGTTTTCTGAAAATTTCCCTGAGTCAGCATGAGATTTGATCGAGATAAAAGGATTTTAATTTTTGCTAGTAAGAGACGAAAAACCGGTTTCCCCCCCCTAAAACTCAATAAAATTGAACTAAAAAGGAGATATTCGTGATCAGCACAAAATTCTGCGTCGAATGATGTACTTTTAAGGGAAAAATGAAGAGTGCTGAAATTTTGAATTAGCGGCACCTTATATTAGTTAAGATATTAATATTTTTATGCTCTCTTAAATGTTTAATATATGTTTCCCATTCGACATTGGTTTATTTTCATCATATAGTTAAAAGAAACTCCAGTGCTTCACTTTTTTCCTTTGTTGCAGTAATACGTTACGTCATAAGTAATGTTTTGTAACTTTACTATTATGCGTGCATGGCAACACTATAACAAACGCAATGAATGCAGTATCGTTTTTGAGTGTCAGGCTTGTTCGACACCTTCACTTGAGCTCAAGACGTCTTTTATTCTCCTGTAGCTTTTTGTTGTAGTTAATATATTTTCATGAATTGTATCCTTTCTAGAATCCTTTTCGTTTAAATTATTTTTGCTTCCCTAAACAATGCCTACACTTCAGCATTCAGCCGACATATGATACTTTTGTAAGATTTTATGAACAACTTCTGCGAACAGTTTCTTTTTCATACACTTCGATATCTCAAATCGCCCAAAACACATTCATTCTACTAACAGAATCCGTAACAGATACTTAATCAGAGCGGCAAACTAGTGTACGCACCGCCATTTTCTAGGTTAAAATGGTTATAAGAAATATATGAAACTGTGCTTGAATGGTGACAGTAATGCTCGCCGAACATATTCACAATTATTTTTTGTGATTGCATAGTGAATCATTTCGATTAAAAAAACATTTTGTCTCTTTGATCAATCAGATCAACAACGTCACTTTATCCATTGTTTCCGCTCTATATCGAATTCAACCCATGTTAACAGGCTCCGACACATTGAACCTCGCTGGGGGAATACCATAACTTTGCCTGTAATAATGCTGGATGAATATACAGTAGTTGGGAACACTTTCTTGAATATATCTGGATCACTCACACTTATCACTTCCCTCCAATCTCTGTTAGAGCTCTTCATCCCGATCAGTCTTTTCCCGTCAACGCTATTAATGACTGATATCTTATACCAAAAACGATACAATGCTTATTAATTGTGTAGCTGATGTTAATGGCATTCTAAAAAGAGCACTTGCTCATATATTCAGTCTCCATTCTAGTTTACCTGCTTATCATCTTCAATCAGCGATAAAAGTAGAAATTGAAAGTCAACATTAGCCATATATAAAACTACAAATGATCGGAAATCGGAGTGAAGCAAGAAACAGTCGATGGTCAAGAATAATATCAACGGGGTATAGGTAGAATTGTATGTGATATTTTTGCGTTTTTAGTTTTGTTCTTTGTTGCTGTTTTATTTGTCACTACGCTTAACAACAAAAAATAGCGAAAAGTGTGTTCGATGTCACTACTTAAGTACCGTCTTATACGTATTTTATAACTGGATTACTATGTCTACACGGCTAGTAAATTTTTTACACAAACAACTTAAAACACCTCTCTTTTTTCAAACATCAGTTAACTGAATTTCACTAGAATCAACCGATTTATTAATTTCCTTTTAATTAATGACTTAATCATTAATCAATTTTTTATTCGTCATGCTCAATTTGGGAGTAATATTTCACTTACCTTTGTAATGTTTGACAATTCAACCAATTTTAACTTCTTTCCTTAAACAGAGAGTGATAAAGAATAAAGATCTTTATTTTCTTTGTCGATAATAGTATTCTCTTTCGAGTCTGAGACAGACAATCGCTGTTTTCGTAAAAGCTGAGAAAAAAGTTTTCTTGTCTCTTACGTATTATGGTAAAGAAACGAAAGTGTTAGCTAAGAAATCGTTGTTCAGTTCAATAAACCGATAATTCTACGTATGGATACTAATCGGAAAATGAGAGAAATCAAAGAAACAATCATTGCATCTCATGAAGCATACAATAAAATTAATTATCAAATGTTAATATTCAAATAAACAGTTTATCTAAGTATCTCTGCTCCTTTTCATTATTTTATCTTTTAGTTACAGCAAGGGGAAGAAACACTGCAATAGATATCTATTGTAATCTTTCCCCTTGTAGTGCTTAAAAGTTCGTTCAGTGAATTGTCCATCGATAATCATTTTATTTTCTGTTTGACATATATATAACTTCGTTAAACATGCTAACTTCGATACGACATATATATACATCTAACCGAACCATTATACCGGCTTGATCATATAAATCACGATATTCACCGCGGACGAGCACTTCACAAGTGAAATTACCGGTCATTGTCTTTGAATAGAAACGAGCATTATCTCGTATAAATCCATAGTGTGTCTTTCTCCAAATCTACTGCCTGCTTTTAGAACTTAAAAAATACAATCCAAAAACAGTCAGTAAACCGTAAAGTCAAAAACAGCCTATTAACTGTGTCGTTAGCTGGCTGTTTTCAGGCCGTTTCTTTCCTTTGATAAGACTTGGTTTTAAAATCACTGTTTTCGGATTGTTTCAAAACGGTCTAAAAACTGCCTGTTTTACGTAAACTGTTTTAAGGCCGTAAATTGTCACTTCGAACTGTTTAAAAACTGTCTGTATTTATTGACATCGCAAAGTGGCACCCTCTACTCAATTTATTATTAAAATTAATCTTCTAATCACTAAATTCTGGTAAACTCTGCATATTTAGTCATCATTTGCCAATTGTGTGTTAGTTTTCTTGTTCATACCTGCATTAACATGTACTTGCTATTGCTCGTCCCTTTTGATTGGATCGTCCATAGAGTACCTGACAGACATTTGTCAATCTTCTGATGACAGACAGAATGCAAAAGCTTTTTGTAGGACCCTAGATTAAAGTCAAGAGGCCAGCAGTGAAGACTCAAACTGTCAGATTATTGCTAACTCGAGTCACGAGTGAATACTGGAAATATTTCATCAAAATTTATTATAATGAAATGTTACATTTTTTCATGCATGTAAAAGTGCATGAAGAAACAATGAAAAGTCATGGCAGCTCGTCATTGTATCTTATCTTGATCTTTCTTTGATTGTTGCTGACAAACTATTTTTTTTATTAAAAAGCGTTTTTTCTTAGCCAAAAATAGGCCAAGGACGATGTTACGTGTGAACATAAAAATAATATTTCATTTCTGTTTTGTAGACGTAATTCCTGCTCCTTGTTAAATTCGTATCTTCTTGTACACGTAAAGAAAATGTCATATGAATGGTTGAATCCTCCCAAAACGTGGCATGTAGATGATAACACAAAAACAATTACTGTACAAACAGATGAAAAAACGGATTTTTGGAGAAAGACACACTATGGATTTATTCGAGACAACGGTCATTTCTATTCAGAGACAATGACCGGTAATTTCACTTGTGAAGTGCTCGTCCGCGGTGAATATCGTGATTTATATGATCAAGCCGGTATAATGGTTCGATTAGATGAAGAAAATTGGCTTAAATGTGGTATCGAATTTGTCGATTCGAAACAATATGCAAGTGTTGTTGTAACGAGAGACGGTTTTTCCGATTGGTCAATTATCCCAATGAAGGATAATTTAACTGCATTGTGGTTGCGTGTTAAACGGTCAAAAGAAGCACTTCACATTGAATATGATG